TTCTATAACTATTATCCTTCTGTCCTAAATGTCATGATTTAACACAAGGCATGGGATGTGTATCCTTGTATAGTTAAATCAGCTGTTACTGAATCTCAAGTAGACTGGCAGGGATCAGATATTTATCAGTCTCTAGATAGTGACATATCTGGGCATGGCCATGCACTTTCCCAAGTCCTACTATTCAGTGGGCCCATTGACATTATACTTCTATACAGTAGAAGGGACAGATCATGTATCTGTTATTCACATCTCTAAATATGCTTAGCGGCATACCCAACGCATAACTGTACGTCTACCAGTATTTCAGATAGCATTAGTTATGAATCAAAGCATGTGGCCCCACATATCAGAGAATGTAATAACTTCAAGTCTGAGGATAGTTATAGCAAGGTCGATTTGAGAATACTGATAAACACATTACTGTAGATCCATGCAGTATTCTCAACAATCCAGTCACATATTATCAATATAATATGCACCTACGTACAGATTAAGATATCACAATACCTATAGTCTATGAGACGCAACTATCTCATCTCGTACGTACTAGTCTTGATACGTTATGACGTCCGTATTATCATAAAGTGCGACTAGGGATATTCTAGACACATCCTTCGTCAAGAAGTAACAGTCTCATAATCAGAACATCGTAGTCCTCATCTATGTTACTGAAGCGCTATCGTCTATGGACTGAAGCTATGTTATGTTACACGAGATATAAAACATACTTCAAGGCCTTTCATTCATGATAAAGTGTACAGTTACATAGGTATTTGATTGCCGCTAGGGCACCTAAATACAACACAGTGCAGCTTCATTTTCTTCATTCACTACTACAAAACATAGAATACACAGCGGATAAATTTGACCTTTCCCAGCGGAATCCAACCGCTATGTATGTGGCCGGTGGGAAAGGTTTTATGTTTACACAGCAGATATTCATCTGCTGTGTAATGGTAGTGAAAAATTGTGCATGCTTACACAGCGGATATTTATCCGCTGTGTAATGAGACCTTAAAAATGATATGCTTTATAACAGCGGATATTTGTCCGCTGTGTAAAGTTATTTTTTTTCAAAAAAAAAAAAATTGGAATATTATTTTAAAATATAAATTTCAATATATAGTTTTGTCTCAAGTATCCGATTTATGTATCAATGAGTACATCAAAAGATGAATTGCTAGGAATAAACTCTACAAATATTCAACATTAATGGAATATTCAACATTAATAAACTCTACAAATACATCTGCCACAGCTTGTGGCTGCTGATTCTGAGATTGTCAACAAGAAATGTAAGACTGGAAGCTTTTAATCCCTAAACATAGGGGCAAATATTATGGCATTTTGAGCATTTCGTTGTCGGCCGTTGGGGTACTTATCAAAGGGGCGTTTAAGTTGAAGGCCATTCATTCTTTTCTGCCTCCCCTGCTGCAATTGTGCATTTCTCTGGTTTTTCGCACATTCTGAGAAATAGCAATTTTGCCTCCTAAAATAGAGAAATCTGTACGTCTCATCTCCCTTTCCGATGAGAATGACGACATACCAGCTCCATCTCTGAACAATTTTTTTGTGCCAAGATAGGGAGCGCGGCTATGGTGATAACTTACAGAATGCGATGCTCTGTGTCTTCTATGGTCGCATTTCAAGCAGACCATATTTCTCCTGAAGTTTATGTAATTGAACCTAACATAACACATCATCCTCGAATCACGAATAATAGAGAGAATTTATAAAGATAAAAAATGATTTGCTCAAAGTTTGACAGGATTTCTTCAAAAAAAAAGTGTACGATTTGCACTACCATTCTCCAGGATGAAGCAATCTCTTTGGTGGGTTCTCCTTGCACTGCAAGCACCTTGAATTCTTTGCAAAGTTCAAGAAATTACACCTGCAAGAAGTTTATAGCCACACATTGCAGAACCTCTAGATTGCGGAGTCGTTCTTGGGACAGTCCGTTACAGTTTAAACACTTGATATTTCTTGCAAAATTCAAGAAATTGCAACTAGAGAGGTTGACGTAGAAGACGAACACACACAAAAAAAATATTAGTATGTAGAAGTAGACCTTTTCACAATTAAAAAATGTAAAGAAGAATGCACTAGAACTTACTTCGTGCATAACCATTCGCCTGGCTTCAGTTGAACATTCGTCGGGCTGTCTCTATGATTTTCTGCAATTTCTTGTGTTGAAGACCACCTAGCTTTAACATAAGTAAACCCCCTAAATAGGAGTAAAACATGTGTCATATCTTTATAATAGGAGCTCAAACTTAAACATCTCAAAATAGGACTAATTAAATAATTAATGGGTGATGTAGATGCTAATGTTATTCGATCAAATGAGGGAGCGAGAACTTGGTCGGCGGTGCAGCTTCTATGGGTTGGAGACGGTGGTCTTTTACTGCCGCCCCGATTCGGCTGTACTCCGGTAGGCTTTGCAAGCACCATATCACTTGCCGGCGCAAGCTTACGCCCATCGCCGTCGTCTTCATCCAAACCCTTCGCCTCCCTAAGCACTTCCGCTCATTCTAGTGAGAATCTCCACTTTACTTTAATGTTGTGATTTCTTTGTCTCCATTTCCTATCAATTTTTCATACAATCACCTTTAATTTGGGCTTTGATTCTTGGTTATTGATGAATTTTGGTGAAATTTGAGTTAGGGTTTATTGGCTAAATTGCTAATTACCTTATATAGCCTCTGAAAGTTCAGAACTAGTTTTCTTGCTGATATAGGGTGTGAATCCATCTCTGATGCTTATAGGTGCTGTACCAACCCCCTCTTCACCAACACTCCCAATCTCATTCATTTTGGCTATAATTTGATTCTAGCAAATCAAAGTATAGTTTTGTCCCCCTAAAAAACTTGTTGTTAAATTTTTGATTATTGATTTAGAATGCATATACAATTGAAAAAAATTAGATTAAAATTATCTGATTCTTGGTCGATTTACCTGTGTGACACTGTCAATTTGCATCTAAAACAATGTATGTGGGCATTTGTGACATGATGCATTTTCATATGTGACACTATGTGGGGCAATGCTTGGTATTATTTGACACTGTATTTGGTGGTTAATGTGGTACAATGATATCAACATTAATAAGGAATTACTCTAAGTAGAAGGAAAACATATGTCATAGGCTCAAAATAGGAGTTCATATTAAACTTTACTAAATAGTAGTAATTAATTAATTTTTGTTTTTCAATCTCACTCAGGGTACAAACTACAAAGCCCCTATTTTTTTAGCAATCCAAATTGTTTCCCCCTTCTTGAATCTCAACAACCACCACCAATCACCATCTTCGTTACATCTCAGTTGCTAACATTATACAGTTTTGAATGCTTGGCTTAATAATCAAACTTGTTCTCATTTTCCTTGTAACATTATACAGTGTCATATATGTCCTTATGTAGCGCTAAGTTTTGCAGTGTACATTGTCATTTTTGACATTATTTGTTGCTACAGTTGACATGTATAGCAAGTCAACGGTAGTATGGCACTAGTGATGGTTACATGTCCTGGTGGTGTCGGTAGCAAAAAAGGAGACTTAGTGGTGTTGGCAATGACATGCGAAATCATCAACAATAGCTAATTGCACCACAGTGGGACACGAGAGAGCAAAGGTAGGGGTGTGTGTATGTTGTTGGAGGTGATATAAGAGTAGCATAGCAGGACGACATGACGGAAAGGGCTGTGGGGCAAGGAGTGCAGCAAAGCGTGGCGGCGTTGGCGGCAGGGGGAAAGAGTCGGCGGCGTTGACATGTAATATTGCTCGGCGTTAGCATATTTTTGTATGGTACTTCGTGTATGTCAATAACATTTTACTCATATCAAAAGATATTTTTCTCTAAATTTTCACATGTAACTCTTAAGATCAACTTGAGGAGACTAATTAGAATAAAATTGTTCTTTTTTTTATAAATAAAATCCCACATTGATCTAATGGGCCATCATCCTTTCCTTCCATGGGGGAGAAACCGAATTGTGTTTTTACCTAAAGTTGTCCCCCCCCCTTTTGTGTGTGGTGTGTATATGTGTGTATGGCAAGCATCATTGCCATTTGCCAGACCACCCTTCTCTCTTTTCATTCACATTTATAATCCCCCCTCACAAAAATAAATCCAAATAGAAAAATAAGAGTCACGGCACCAAAGCCTATGCATATTGACTAGCTAGCTCCCCTCCACCAGTAACTACCTAAAAATAAATGACCCTGCCTCTAACTTTGTTTTGAGAGTTGAAAAAAACTTAACTTTAATAATCACATGAAACCACGAGGCAGTTGTGAAAGCAGAGTGAACAACTTCTATTTTGGGGCTTTTATGTTTCAACTCCTATTTTAGATTTTCATCAATGTTTTACTCCTATTTTGCTCCTTAACCCCTTAAACATCACTCTTGGGTCTCATTACCACCACCAACTGCCCTTCTACTGAATTCCACAGTTTCTTTCAGTAACTTTCTTACCGATTCCTTCACTCTTTTGTTTAGGAAGGGTGTGTTCTCTACTTGACAAAATATTGGATCAAGCCCGTACGTTAGTAGAAAACGCATCACATCCACAACAGGTCCACCACCTTTATCCTCATGTACCTTCACACATGCCTTCAACTGCAATACCATATCTAGGATAGAGGATTGAAATTGTGAAACCTGAGAAAGAACTTTCGCAGTTGGTTAATGAAGGTAGTTTTAGTCCCATCCTAAAATTCCAAAATTGAATATAGGAAACTTATCAAGAAAAGAAAACAAACCAGTAAAGGTTGAGAAATCAAATCTTTGGCCTATTAATCGATTATACTATCTTCAGAAGTCCCAAATCAGCTCAAACATTTCAGTTTCATCTTAAGACTAATTGAATGTTTAGTCCAAATGACCATATTAACCTATGAAGTAAAAAAAGAACATCCAAAGTAAAAGTGGTTCATTCTTTCATTTATTTAAAATTTAAAAGTAATTTAGGTATCTTTAAAAGTGGAAGTCAAAAAATGGAAGGCATAGAGAAACAAAATAAAATACCCAATCGTGGAATATCATGACTCGTCAATTTTGGAATGAACCCAATTAGTATATGCTGTAACACCCTAATCCGTCTAGGTCTGCAGCCCCTTTCGGACTAAAGTATTGATTTGGTAATCGTGATAATTTAAAACATTTCAAACATTTTTATTTATAAATAATATTCCATACATAATTGTAGAAAATACGGAGTGGTTAATAATAATGCGGAAGCGACTTTTAAACATGTCTCATAACAACATAATTATTTATTTTGTTCAATGATCCACCACAACTGTCTCGTCCCTTCTGCTGCCAGGAATCAGCCAATCATTCATTCTACCTACCTGCGTGTAGCAAATAAAACACACTACACGCTCAGCCGTGAAGCTGAGTAAGCATATCTAAAGCGTCGAACATTCAAATAAATTGAATCTCAATTCATAATCAACCATTTGATATCATGCACCCAATATATAATTCAAACGTTCATGATATTCTCACTATTTTATTCCAAGTCATTTGATATTCAATATCTCAACCATGCTCTTAAATTATTCTTAATCTAAGGCCAAATCATTTTATAACAAGCTCTTAGCTATTCCTAGTCTAAGGCAACATTTCTAACCAGGCCCTTAAACTATAAATAGTTTAATGCAGAACACAAGAATCGATAATCCACCCTATGGGTCATGTGGATTACGTACCAACCGAACAATGATTTGTCGGGTGGGTGATATCCGGCCTGGATCCCGTACGTACGTTTTAACCCGAAATATGAATTGGTCAAGTAGGTATATCTTAGAGTTCTTCTAGATATCCTTAATAATCATCATCAATATACAAGTGAGTATACCTTAGAGTTGTTCTAGATATCCTTAACAATACGATTCATTAATTCATTATTTTCACTTTAACAATTCATGATCATCATTCAAAACGTTCATCATCATTTATTCATTATAATCAATAATCAAACAATTGTCATAATGCATAATAACAAATAGCGGCCTAGTCTCGAGTGTTAACACCCGAACTTACCGTCATGCATCACATAATGTTTATTTGTCACAAACATAATTTTTATTGTACAAAATCATATTTTTATGGTTTATAATTAATTGGTAACAAAATAGGATTTTAGAGCATATTTTCAATAATATTTTCAGAACAGGATCTAGAATTGAGGAAAATAATTTAAAATAATCATTTAATTTTTAAAAATTGATTTATATAATTTTAAATAATCCATTAATTCATAATAATCGATTTTTACAATTTAAATAATCAATTTATTCATTATAATCGATTTTTACAATTTAAATAATCAATTAATTAATTTTATTCGATTTTTACAATATAAATAATCGATTAATTCATAAAAAATCGATTTTTACAATTTAAATAATCCATTAATTCATAATAATCGAGTTTTACAATTTAAATAATCAATTAATTAATTTTAATCGATTTTTACAATATAAATAATCGATTAATTCATAAAAATCGATTTTTACAATTTAAATAATCCATTAATTCATAACAATCGATTTTTACAATTTAAATAATCAATTAATTCATAATAATCGATTTTTACAATATAAATAATCAATTAATTCATAATAATCGATTTTTACAACATAAATAATCGATTAAATGGTAAGTAAATAATCGATTTTCGGCTACTGTTTATCATCATCTTCCTCGGGTGAGTTTTAAAACACCAAACTTCAATTAAATTATATGGAAATGTTCTCCAAGGTTCATAGATCATTTTAGAATCATTAAAACATATTTTTAACATCAAATTCAAGGTTTATGATTCTTGGTTCTTCAAACATGTCCAACACAAAGTTCAACCAAATGACCATTTATGAACGTAAAAACAACCTATATGAACATTCTAATCTTTAGATATATCTACGGGCTTACTTTGAAGCTAAATGGGTGTTTTGAAGATTTTCCGACGAATCTTCCGGTGACGATAGCTCTCAACTCCGGCGACCTTACACCAAATTGACAGCACCACTACGTTCTCCACACTCAAGGTTATCTCCCAGAACGAATTTGATGAAGAATGGTGAAGAAATGGTGAAGTTTTTGTTTCCATTATATAGAAGAAGGGAAGGGGAAGAAGACATGGGATGACATGTTGTTCTCCTGTTTTGGCGTCTCAGTGGAGCAGACGGCCGATAACGCAAGTCCCTGATTGGGACCAATTTTGGTTCCAGTCGGGGTACACTTTTTGGTCCAACTTTTTCCAAATTGAAATCTGACTGAACCGTTGGGGTCAGACAGTCAAACTCTACATAATGATATGATTTTCATTATTTATTGACAAACTTTAGAATTTACTTATTTTTGGGTCCTTCTCAGTAATTAATTAATTATAAATTAATTAACTCTGATAGGCCTATTTTTGGGGTGTTACATTTCTCTCCCCCTTAAAATAATTTCGCCCTCGAAATTACCTGAGTCATTGATTGACGAGATTCAGATACTGTGTTCTCATTGACTCTTCGTTTTCCCATGTTGCTTCTTCAGTCGAATGATTTCTCCATGATGCTGATTGACTGACAACTGGGGCTGTCGGAAATGGTTTGCCAGGATTAGTGGGGCAATCCCTTCGAAAATGTCCAGGTTTGCCGCAACCTAGACATAATCCTTGGGCAAGCCAACACTCGCCTGGATGATGTCTCCCACGTGTATCGCACAATGGGTGTTTCCACCCTCTTGATTTGTTTTCCGACGCCACAGAGTCCGTCTGCACCGATTTCCCTTTCTTTGAGAAGTGTGAATTGCTAGATTCCTGAAGGGGCCTTTTTCCTTTTGAGACAGAGCTGATGGGACGGTGAGTGTTTGAACTGACATTATTTGTCTTCAGATACTCAATGCAAGCACTCACGTCGCTGTCTGCCTTGGCTATGAGATCGTAGGCCTCTGCAAAATCCACGGTGGTTAGGACGGACACACGCGACCTAAGGTCAGGTCGAAGATTCTTCCTGAATTCCTCGATGCAATCGGTTGGGGTACTCACCAAGGTTGGTGCAAACTTAGCAAGTCTGGTAAACTTCTGTCGATACTCGGGGAGTGTCATGTCTCCCTGTTGCAATTCAACAAATTCTTTACGTCTTTCTTCGCTAAAACGTTTTGGAATATATTCTTGCTTGAATGCCCATTCGAAATGTGCCCATGTCCATGGCTTAGGGGTTCCTACACTCTCATCGGTCCTCTTCCACCACTCGTAGGCTTCGTTGCGAAGCAGCTGAGATGCCAGTCGAGGATAGTTGCCAATGGGTACGTTAAGATCCTCCAATACTCGAGCAGTCTGCTCGATCTAGTCCCATGCAATTTGGGGTTCACCGATGCAATCGCCAAGGAATAATTCTGCACCGTTATCCCTTAATGTTTTGTAGGTTATCACTCGTGGTGGCGGTGGTGGAGGTGGTTGAAACATTGGTGCGTTGGCTATTTGTTGCAACACATTAGCTAGAAAAGCTGGAATCACAAGGTCGGGTTGACCACCAGCGTTTGGGTTATTCCCAACATTTTGTTGATTGACGGGTTCATTTTGGATGGGAGGGGTAAAGCTAGATGCTTCAGTATGAACACTGACGTGTTCATTATTGTTGCCTTGTCCGTGGGCAGATTCTTGACTCATTCTACAATAACAGAAATTCCTTTATTAGGATTCTTTTATTCAGTAGTTGAGTTTAAGACAGGAATTGCAAAGG